ATAATCTGAATAGAAAATTGAGCAACATATAATTTCAGGAGCATTTAGATTTATAAAATTGGTTTTCTACCCCAGGCAATACTGTGTCATATAATCATGGCAACATGTCACAATTAGTGAAGATGTTTCTTTTCTTTTTTAGTCTTGGGAGTTAGTTATCTTTGAAATCCAAAGGGAAACAGTGTTTAAAACAAGCCGGTGTAAACATGTGAATGACACAGTTTATTAAAGAAATAAGGCTGTTTATCAAGCTTACTGAAGTCATCATATTGGAGATAAATAATTAATACTGCTCATTTCTTTTTATCTTCTGTGCATAACAATAAGTGCCACATGGGCAATTTTTAAAAAAATTTCTATCAGTATAGAGAAAAATTTATGGGAACATATAGAGTATGTATGGAAATAAATGAACAAAAAATGTTCAGTGTGGGATATATGGAAAAATAGTTTCATTCTGACTTGCTCAGCTAAGAAGGGTATGGTTGAACCAACTGCTGATTTTGATCCTAAAAAATTAGGATTTTAGGATTTTTTTTATGAGACTAAACATCATAATTGCCTTACTGTTTTTTAATTCATAGTTTGCAAAACTTAGTCAGTCATGGAATTTGAGTCTTGTGAATAGGCTTCTTAAAATTGCTTTTCAATCTCATTGATTCTCTTTTTTTTCACACATTGGTCTCAAAATCATTTTTCTAACCCTTCAGGCATTTTTTTTCACATGCTTTTGCTTGCAAAATCCAGGCCTAGGCTGAAACATTTTGTTACTCCAGATAGGGAATTATCACATAGATTAGAGCATGGGTGTTAAACTCAATTGTGTCACGTGATGGGTTTCAGCAGGTTCTGACCAGTTCTGGAGAACTGGTAGCGGAAATTTTGAGTAGTTCGGAGAACTGGTAGTAAAAATTCTAACTGGCCCCGCCCCCATCTATTCTCTGCCTCCCAAATCCCAGTTGATCGGGAGGAAATGAGGATTTTACAATATCCTTCCCCTGCCATGCCCACCAAGCCACACCCACAGAACCGGTAGTAAAAAAAATTTGAAACCCACCACTGCACGTGACATATTGTGATGTAGCACAATGTTTTTTGCCTTTGTGGAGCCAGGGTGGGCATGGCCTGAGTGTGAGTCATCCAGCCAGCAGGCAACCAGTTTGACAGGCCTAGAGTATCTCACTCGTTCAAATGGTGTAACCTTGTTACATTCAAATCATGACCATAAGGGAGAAAATTCCTTTAACATACGTATCATAGCATTAAACATAAAACAATAACAAAGCAACCAAAACAAAACATTTAAAATGCAAATTATATTCCAAATCTTACACTGTGAAAAGTCTACAAAAAAGATATTGAGATATTAATCAGGAAGAATCCTGATCAATATCTCAACACTCATCTTCCAAGATTCAGGGAACTCAATTACTTAGTATATAAGAATTTGCCTACTGTAAACAAGCATGTTCAGACATTTTAATGTTTCTTCACCTTGGGGCCAGGAGTTCACAGTGACTCATGCAGAATTGGAAACATTAATTCCATCAAAGCAAGAAACTGTTTGGCTGGACAATTTCTAGTTGTATCACATAAATCTTAAATTTTATTCCTTGAGATATTCCAAAATGTTTCCAATTGGAAACATATCAAAATATCTCTCATATAAACTAGTTTAATAAAAATATTAAAGACAATAGAAAAGGGGGAATATCTTTTAAATCTATTAAGATTAATATTTATGCCCTTTTCAAAGAAAAATGGCAACTAACCTGCCACGTTGTAGAACACTTCTATGATCTGTTAAGAAATTTCATTTTGCTTTGAGCATTCGTATAAGAATTAAAAGATAACCTCCAATAGCTTTGTTGCTATTTCCAAGGGGTCTTGGACATAATATAGACTTTTCTCTGCCATTTGAATAGTTTTTTTAAAAAAATGCTGTTAAAATGCTTATTTAAAAGATACTCTTGTAAAGTTCTTTTTGTATGACTCAGGCCATTTGTTCTACATCTGATACTTGGGATATATAAAGCTTCTAATCCTGACCCTTTTCAACACAGCCTGAATGTGAAAATAGATGTAGTAGAAACTTCATGCTAACAGACATTAGTGGTGGGTTTCAAAAATTTTTACTACTGGTTCTGTGGGTGTGGCTTGGTGGGCATGGCAGTAGAAGGATACTGTAAAATCTCCATTCCCACCCCAATCCAGGATTTTAAAATAAGGCATTTCTGAACTATTGGGTCCACTGTTTAAGAAGTTAGTTTGTGGATTTTGTTGTTGTTTAGACTGATGCAAAAGCAACAATTCATAATGGCTTCTCTGATCTCACTCTGGATCCCTACCAAGACATCTTTAGAGATAGTTTTTCTGAATTCTAATTCCTGCCTTGTTACTTGATTTTTATCTTTTGCTTTTCAACCTGATTTTGCTTTACAAATAAATTGCATTTATAGACTTTCAGTTTCACAACTTCATGAGAGTTTCTGACTAACAATGCTAAGGAATGAAACTGCATTTGAAGTGAATGCTCTGCCACTGATTTATGGTAGCAGAATGAGATTGTAAAGAAAATATCGGACAATTTACTGGCAAAAAAACTTGGTTCAGATTATTTCAGTTCAGTTTTTTCAATACATTTTCCAAACTGAACAAATTCTTCTATTCATTTTTAAAAGGCACTCCATCAAACTATATCATGTGCTCTTAGTCTGGCTGAGCATGCTGGGAATTGAAGTTCATACATCTTAAACTTGCCAAGGTTGAGAAACATTGTGCTAATCAGTAACACTGGAGAAGAAAAATGTGAGCATCCCAGACTAATTGCTTTCTTGAAGTAATTGTTTCCTGTGGCAATTCAAATTATAATTTCTCTATTTTCATATGAAAAATAAATTTGCTTTACTTGTGATCTTCCTATATATGTCTCTGAACTTCAAAACGTAAAAGAATACTGGCATGATCTCCTGCATTTACAAAACTAACGTTTCCACTCGTGAATGACCTTTAGCAAGAAATTTGCTATAAATGCAGCTGAGTCTGTGTTTCAAAAAGGTCAGAATGCAGCTATGCCAAATGTAGGTAACACTATATCCGTGCAGCAGCTGATTTGCTGAAAGTCTTTGTGTAGTGTTGGCACAATCATCATTCAAATTTATGTATTAAGAAATAATTTAAAAGTTATGCCTGGAACTGGCTTGCTTCCATTTTCTAGGCATTTGTATTTCGCAACAAATGAAACGCTTTGGATGATGCTTCTTTATTGTATATTAATAAAAACTCAGAGGCACGGTAGAAATTAAAATGTGTTTACAGCTTTTTTCACTGAGCCTGTACTTTCAATATTTTAATCTCCGCTTGCCACCTTAATCAGGGAAAGTATTTATGTTCAGTTGTACTTTTCCTACAAATGCAATTTACCATTCAGTTCAATAAAATCTCCACTAACTTTGGCAGTTTGGGTCTTTGTTTATTCCCTCTTACAAGGTTCAAACCATTGGCATTACTTATTAGGGCTGAATTCCTCACCAGCCTGTACAAGTTTGTCAAATTAAGGATTTATCCAAGTAATTAGTCAAATTGTATCCCAGCCAGATATTATCCTTTGCAGGATGGTCCCAATGCCTGTAATCAAAGTGATACAGATAGACATACAGTCAGCCCATGTTTAGGAACTACAACTGGGACCTGCAACTCAATTGTTAAGCAAAATTAGATCTGTGATGGTGAACCTATGGCACACATGCCACAGGTGACACGCAGCGCCCTCTCTGTGGGCACACGAGCAGTAGCCCCAGTTCAGCTCCGCCGCACATGTGCGTGCGGGAGCACTGGCCATCTGGTCGTCTGGTCTCTGCTGTGCATGGGCAGGGGGCCCGCATACATGTGCAGGGCGGGGCATGTGCAGGAACTGTGTGCATGCGTGGGGGTGGGGTGCATATGGGGTGTGCGCACATGTGCTGGGTCAGGGTGCATGCACAGAGGGCAGGCCGAATGCACAGGGCCTCACGTGCATTGCACTTTGGGGTTCGGGCACGCACATTCACACTCACGCACTTTAGTCCTGAAAAGGTCACCTATCACTGCACTTGGTGAAAGTGCATGTGCTTATTATCTTACTTCAGCTTTCCTTTGCTTTACAGACCTGCAAAGGTCATAAATGCAAAGATTGGTTATAAAGTTACTTGTATCATTGGTGATATAGTTTGTGTGCCATTTTGATACCAGGCTTTTGGTTTCACACCGAAAAGGAACAATATATGCCTTAGTGGTCTAAGGAAGAAAGAACTATGTTCCTGAAATAGGGAGAGGTGTAAAAAGGGAAATTTGGGGGGTTGGGGTGTTTTGTTTGTTTAGTTTTTAGAAACTACAGGAGTGTTACTGCATTTGAATGCCTAGAAAAACATGTAGTCCATATATACATTATTGCACAGAACTAAAAATAACCACAAAATGGCCAGAGCTTTAGAGAACAGATGCGGATGCTACACTTTTCAATATATAATATATAGTGGAATATAGTGAAATATGTATATAATCCAGGCATTGGATTATGAAGAAAACTTTATAAGTGAGACCATATCTTACAAGTTTAAACTGTCAATTCCTTGAGTCATGAAACCCAAGCCCAGTCAATTGCCTCCTAAGTTCCAAAACAAAGAAGTGAAGAAAAGGAGTGGTTGAAATAGACCCATTTGTTATTTTAAATACTATGGTCCTCCCAAATGCAGTACTAAAACTAAGGAATGCCCATTTCCTTCATAGATTGCACAGATCCCAGCTATACATTTCCCCATCAGATTGCTTTCAGACATACTGAACGTTTGATAAGTATAGCCAGCAGTAAAATCAAATGGGATAACCTTTAGTGCAGTTTCTTGCATATACTGCTGTAAATAAACAGGACTCCTAGAATCATAAAATCATAGGGATGGAAGGACAAAAGCAGGAGTCCTTGTACCATTCCAGACAAATGGATTCTCTCCATCATCATGGGCCTTGTCTTCTGCTTTCCATGGCCATGCTGGAAATGCTAAACAGGTGTGTAAATTGGAGTTGGGGGGCCCTGCATGAGGAAGGGGAGGCAAGAAGGAACAATAGACAACCAGAATGAATAACTTTTTGTGTGCATTGGAACATTTGGTATTATTATTTTCCTTTACTCCACATTTGTTCTCCTTTTCCTTTCCTCACCCTCTATGGCTGACTCAGCAATGGGAAACCCTTGTTAATATTTTCCTGGTGAAGGGGTTGATGTGACCACAGGTGCTTTCTGGAGAAGCTTTGTATGATTGTTTTACTGATATTTTATTCTAAAAGGTAGACAGTATCCATCATTTAAATTCAAGAAAATATTTTGATAGTCAAATTATTAGTAACTTTTATCAGATTTTTACTGCTACCTACACTGCTACAATTGTTTTATTGGCACAATAGTAGACTAATGTACTAGTCACTAATATTAAATACACCAGTAAAAAGTCTTTTTCTGTAGTTGCATTGCTGTATATCATACATGCTACTGTTGATGAAATTAAGTATAGAGATTTTAAGGAGAACTTTTCTGAGCTGTGGCTAGAAAGATGCCATTAGAATTACATAAATATAGTTATAATAATGCCAAACTGAAATTCCAACTTCCAAACAATTATGTTACTTTATTAAATGATAAAAACTATTAATAAAGGGCTAGATAACAGAACAAAATGGAAACTGGCACTACTACCTAATAACAAGGAAGGTGATCCTTTGCCTCGTTCTAGTTATACACAGTTTATTAATTAGAATAGGATAGGGATGAGGATGAGGATATTCGCTTGGCATATATATCCAGTGAAGGAAATGCAGTTTAGATAGTTGATAACATATCTGAATATAAACTTGCTTTATTATCCATTTTCCAGCACCAAGACATAGACTGTTACTTTAAAGACTGTGACTATATACATAGATCAGTGTGAGAGAATGTCTTCATGGACATAACGGGTGCATGATTTGATGTGCCACATTATACCACATGACACTATATGAATTACAATAAAAGTCTTGCTAGTGGATTGTTTGAGTAGGAAAGTTGTCCTCTCTCTCTCTTTTGCCTTTATAATGAGAGCAATAGGAAGGATTTATTTGACCTGATAATATCAGGCGGGAGCTTTTGATACGTTACCTGGCTCTGGAATTTATCATGCTTCCTTTGAGATCCTCTCAGTTGTATCAGCCAGGGTAAGATACCTTGGCATGTTGAAATAACAACGTTCCAAGTGGGGAAGAGCAACTGCTGTGAAAAGAAATGGGAAAACACATGTGTGAGAATTTATCTAATATTTTCTCTATGCCTTTTTCTGATGGATAGTTTGTAGCAGACAAAATGAAACTTTTAAATTAGTGAAAGTAGTTGTGGGGTTTTTTTTATTGACACGGAAAAACTGATTTATCACTCCCAAAATGCCAAATTTCATCTTACATGTTATAAATTATGAAGTACTGTTTTCAGTGCTCTCAGATTCTATCCTTCTGACTTGTGTATGCTGACAAAGCTCAAGTGATTACTGATCACTTTTGGGAATACACTGTAAAAATGATTCAACTTAGGATGTTAGTCTACTGAATTAAAAAAGGAACTAATGTAATTGTTGGCTTATGGTTGAAATTTAATTTCAATTTTACTTATTTTATTCACAAAGGCATTAGTGAATATGTACTCCAAACATCTATTCACATGAAAGCCCCTTTGGCAATCTGATAAGAACATCTTATTTTGCTCTAGATTGTAGTATATGTAATGAGTTTATTAGAAACTGAACATGCACACATGAGTCAGCACAAGATATTTGGCTGCATTCACTCTTGCAAATATTTATGTTCCCAGGACCTTTTGAACCTTTTAGGAACAGCTCTGTATCCTTATTACAATCTGACAATTAAAAGACTGTTTTCATATCAAAGATTATCACCCCAAAATAGCCAGGAAAGACATAAGATGCTATGAAAAGTCCAACATTCTAAAATGGTCAACTCTTCTTCATTTGGTTCAATCACTGTCAACTCAAGTTTAATGTTGCTGGAATATCTGGCAAATTGCACTGTGCAGCTTTTTGGAATTATGAAATGCTAAAGAAAAGATCATTAATGCATTATGAAGCCATTTTGTCACCCCACTTCTGTTATTCACAGATAAGTTTGTGATCACAAAGTTTCACATTGAAACATGGAGCAAGATTTCAAAACCAGATATTAGCATGAAAATTGATGTTTACAATTGGGGGGGGGTGTTATTCACATGGATTTCCTTGCAACTGGCAATATTAACTCACAACAGTATATTGCAACACCGTGAAACAATTAAACAAAGTTTGAAAGAACCAGAAGGAATTTTTGATACCACATGACAAATGCTAGACTTTATATTTAATAAGCCTCCGATCAGGCAATTGTGAAATCTGACCCCATCTATCATACAGTTCAGACTTGGCACTATATGACTTCTACTTTTTCCTCAAAATTGAAAGAGCACCTTCATGGGCATCTATGGTATTTAACTGAAATGAAGAGATGGAAAGCAATGTCAGGAACTGGTTGAAAAGACAAAGTTCTTTTGTGATGGCTTTAAGAAGCTCATCCATCCTTGGCAGATGATTATATGGAGAAGTCAATACAGGTAATATAAGAGCCCATTTCAAGAATTGTTTTTCTGTTTCATTTATTAAAGTATCCTATTTAAACTAAGTTATGGAAATGGAGGTAATACTTTTCATTCAACCCTCACAGAAAGCTTCCACAAGAGGAAATTTTTTTTGAAGTTTATATTGATTTACAATAAATTACAAAGTGATAATATTAAAACTATAATTCTGAAACAGATTTAATAATATAGGACATAGATAATTATTTAGGTTAAGAAGGGATATTGATATTAGCACTAATAGTATCACATCAGCAAACCTGCAAATACAAATACAAGTTTCCATATCAGCCTTGTTGCAAAATGATAGTGTACTGTCACAGTCATGGATCTTACAGAAATAATTTCCAAGGAATAAATTATTTTTGGCCTTCGAGGCCTTATGCCAGTGGACTTTTTATCAAAACTTAATTGTATAGTTACATCATTTCTTTGTTGGTTTGATATAAATACTATAAAGTTGATCATCTAATTTGCATTTGTAGGCATCCTGTCAAAACAACAAAATGGGAGACCCATAAACATACAAACTCTATTTTCCCTCTTGGCTGTCTTTTGAAACTCATTGATGTCACTTCCTTCCTAAGTCAGCAACTGAATTTTTCTTTAATTCTTAGTCCCAGCTGTCTATGTTGTCAACACAAAGTTATTAAAATTCCTTTAAAGTGAATAAAAATAGCCTAAAAACAAATGTAGTGGGAATCAGGAAAGCATCAGTATTCAAAGTCCACAAACCTTTGAGCAAAATAGAGTTGATCCAAGTAGAGATTGAAAACATTGGTCTTTCCTCGCATCTTGTACATCATTAAAGGTTGTTTAAAATACGTTTGCCTTAATCTTTTATTACCCCCAAAAAGAGAGTGCCTTATCTGGTTAAAAAAAGTAGCCTCAAGATGTGAATTTTCACAATGATGTTCTCTGTGAACTCTATTGCCTACTGAAAGTCTGCCTGAATAATGTTGATTTTCTTTCTCAAAGCAAAAAAAAACAACAAAAAAAACATTTCTGCAAAACAAAATACTACGCTATTATGCAGGAAGTAATTACCATAAAGAGGCAATCCTCTGTCATAGCCTAAAGCAATGAGTAATCTTGATTTTGTTTTATTTTTTAGGAAGATTATTATTTTAGGAGATCATTAGGGAAGTTACTTTCTTACTTGTACCAGTGTAATACTTTTTATCCCATTCTATCAACTTACTTGTTGAACATAAATATTTATTTTATTTTTATTATATTTTTTTAAAGCTCAAGTTGAATAAGATTTCTTCCTCATCTATCTTCTGAGTGGCATAGTAGATGCAACTGTCTCCATTTAATTTTCTGCCTGAATAGAAAATACAGATTTAAGCCTGATTCTATATATATATATATATATACTGAAAAGGTGGATACAGCCCTATAAACACTAGAGATCCAGATAAAGGAACCAACTTGTTCAGTAAGAAGTTGATATTCCCTCTTCCATGGTTTGCCCCACTTCTGAGTTATGGTATTATTCACCCATGTCTGAGTCATCAGAGAGTGGCATCATATGTGGTGGACGTGTCCAGAAGTGAGAAATTATTGGATTAAAATTAAAACATGGTTAGAAGAAATGATACAACAACATATGGATTTAAAACCTGAACTGTTCCTATTGGGTATCTTACCAGAGAAATTTAGTAAAGAAAATACATATTTGATTATACATGTTATAACTGCAGCAAGGATAGTATTTGCACAAAGATGGAAAGCAGAGAAAATCCCTACAGAGGGAGAAGTAATTAAGCAAATATTGGATTGTGCAGAAATGAATAAATTGACTTTGACAATTAAAGAAAGAGAGGAATCTTTTAAGGTATGGGGGTAATTTTATCATTGGTTATAGAAGAAATATCTATATATATATATATGGTAATGTTTTAATGAAATGAGCGAAGAAAAAAGAAAAGAAAGAAGATAGATAAATGTATTAATAGAAAAGCAAGAAATGTGGGAGAAATGTTATAATAAATGAAATGATAATATTAAGATATGATAAATAGTGGAGGAGTAGGAAAAAGACACAAAAGATGTACTCAGATGATACACTGATTGATTGATTATGTATTGTATGTTTGTTTGTCTATAAAATAAAATAAAAACTTTTATAAAAAAAAGAAAGAGTGGCATAGAATTTGCTGTTCCCATTCTCAGTTCCTATTCTTCTTTTATCCCCAACAATCACCATATCACCTGACCTTTCTCCAGAGTACCAATGACAAAACCTAATATGTCTTAAGGTTGCTTTTAACTAGTAACAGAATAAGGCGTAGGACCTTGCTTTAACATTGGAACGTTAATGACTTAAGTCTGAATCAATTCATTAAGTGGATACCACGTGTACATAAATTTATTTCCCAGGAATTGAACTGGAATATTCTAATTGAAAGCATATGCACTGTGCAAGTTAAAAATTGTTTCTTGATTGTTACTTGCTTTTGCTAATTCAAAATGCTTCTAGGAAGCCTAGGAAAGTTGATGAGCACTGATAAATGGACATTTTGGTATTCTGACTAGTTGTTCCACAATGTATTTAACAAAGCAGGAATGGATTGCCTTTGTTCTACAACCATGAATACCCAGCAACATAGAGATCTCTCTCCTGATCAACCTAAATATATTCAGAATAAAAAATATTCAAAACCTAAAAGCATCTTTATGATGGGAATGTTAACAGCGTAAGATCTGACTGCAGTGCTTTAGTTCAACTAAACCGTTCGTTTAGATATGCAAGCTTTTGAAAATACTTCATGTTTTTAAAGGTATAACTCATGAATTTTTTATAGAAATCCCTCATCAAACAAAGGAAACCAACATCTTTATTAAATACGCCACTCTATAGCTTATGTGAATCAGGTTAATTCATTTATTATCATGCCGAGAAAGTTGCATTTTCGCAAAGATGATGGGAAATCTTCAACATTCAGTGTTTGAACAGAAACAAAAAGAATATTTGTTTGCTGATTTAACACTGCCTCATATAGTTCCACAGCTCCACAAATTATGACACTGTCAAGCTGCAAAGGAAATGTGATCCACATATATTTAGTCCAGAATTTGTGATTGGTGGCGTTTGATTAAGAATTTCCATAGACAATATGAAAACTTTTTAGTAATGAAGATAACATTGTAAACTCAAAAAATAAAGGATAGCCCCTTTGGGTTTTTTTAATTTTGTTGTTTTCCTTTATATCATTTTAAATTGTAGAACTGTTCAGAGGTTATTGGAACAATTCTAGCCTTTTACAATCTTCATTTTTTTTTTCTGAGTGAATCAGTTCAATTTTCCTTATTTTGGAAGCATAAGATGTTTTTGTAGAGGTGCAAACTCTTTAGTTACAGATCAAAATTTTTATAATTAGGCAGTGTAGATTGGTTCCAGTGGTCATACATTCCTTCTTTAATTGTTTATTTGTTAAATGTCATAATCTTTTTTTGTAATAGTTAAATTGTGTGTTGTATTTGACACTTACACAATTGCAATATAAATGTGATTATTATAGGACTGTTCAATAATCTGTTGTCCTAGTTCAGGGGTGTCAAATTCGAGGGTTGGGCATGGATCCGGTCCATGGGGTGCTTAGATCTGGCCCATGGAGCCACCCTGGAAACAATGAAGGACTGGCCCACGGTGCCTCTGCCAGTGAAAATAGAGTTTGGGAGGGCTGCTTTCACTGGCAGAGGGTTGCAGGAGGCCACTGCAGCCAAAAAACGGAGCTTGTGAGCCTGTTTTCGCTGGCAGTGCTTTGGGCCCCCACAGGCACCCCCAACACAAGTAACGTCGAGTTGGCCACACCTATCCCTGGCCCCCAAGGTCAAACACAACCTTGATGCGGCCCTCAATGAATTGAGTTTGACACTCCTGTCCTAGTTAATCCTTTAGTAAGGCAGGCCTATATTATTGTGAGGTGCAAAAAATCAGGTCTCCAAAAAGTCAATTAACTGACTTTTTGCAAAAGCCTATGCACAGGAATCTTTTCAGACTGACAGCACATGTTTAAAACTAGATAAGTGTCAACAGCAATCAAGGGGGGTTGGACTTAATTCACCTGTGGCAATGGAACACTTCTCAACTGATGCCTTATTTAACTCCTTTCCCTCGCTATGCCAGTGCTTCTCCTACAATTATGGCACAAAAATATTCCCAGAATTCATTTTTGATTATATACTGGTGAGACTGGAAAAGTTTCTTCTTTCTATTTGAAACATCCACTACTAAAATAAATAGATTGATTAAAATTAGGCTCATGTATGAAAGATTAATTCGCTATGTTATAAAATCTGAACTATAAAATTTGAATTATTTAACATTGTAGTGGTGTATTACTGTTTGACCTGTTGTGAGGTATTGTTGATGATGGCTATTTTACAGAATGAAGTTCAAGAGTTTGAACAAGCAGTGGTTCACCTATTGTAAATGGGACAAATCATTATTCCAAAACTCCTAAAAGTTGTTTTATAAAAGCCAACAGGAGTGATTCAAACACTCTTAAAAACTGTTTTCCCCCCTTAACCTTGTTTTGAAACTGATATGATCACTTTCTCTGAAATAAAAACTTTTTTCTTTCTTTCAGGATCTGAAGAAAAAATGCAACTGCAGATGATTAATCAGGTATTTTATTTATTTATTTATTTTATTGTATTAAATTTATATGCCGCCCTTCTCCCGTACGACTTGGGGCGGCGTACAGAATAAAAACATGTAACAATAAGAAATCCTAAAAACAGCCAATATAAAACCCCAAACAGAATAAAATCTCGTAGCAGATCAGGGAAATTGCTGAAATCAAACAGACTGGAGAGCATGTAGCAGAAATCCAGCACTAAGATGATCAAGCAAATCATGCCTGCTTTTATGTAGCAAAAGCACCTGTTGATTATTACTTTCTTTAATAGCTGTCCAACAGAAATATGTGTTTGGTGGGGGGGAACTACTCCAAAATGGACTGTTGAAACCATGGATGCATGCTGTGATTCTTTTACTGGAGGTACTCCAAGATCCACAGCCTTGGATGGAGATTGAAATGGACTCTCTGGCTCTTTTACTAGATGTAGCCAGGAATAAATTAACCATAGAAATCCATGCAATGAATGGATTTTGTAATGTGTACATAATAGGGCTAATCCTGGAAACTATGGTTAATGTGAACGGTACCATCTAGTTACTGCAAGGCTAACCAATTATGAAGATAACAACTTGTTCTGAAGGAACCATTCTTGTTGGTTCCTGAATCAAATTCAAGGCAATCTTTATGATGCAGGCCAGAAACCGGGAACATTGTAAGTTCTAGAATCACCTTAGGCATGAAAGGCTTTTGGGTGACTTTAGCCCAATCATTCTCAGCCCAAAGTACTCCATATTGTTGTGGGGAAAATAGGAGGAGGAAGATATTCACCGCTTTGAGTTACAATAATAAAAAAGGCAGGAAATTAATAAATAATATAGAAAACCTATGATAGATGGCTTAGGAACTAATAGCACATCTGGTCTCTAATATATCTGAAAAGGCTGCATCTGTCAGTGGTCTCTTACATCAGGATACAAAACCAAATTCTTGATACAAGTGGCCTGTTTTATATTTTTTTCCCTGATCCAATGCAGCTTACACCAATACATTTAAGAAACTGAACCAGCCTAAAATATAACTGATCAGCCAAATCTTCAGTTAAACCATTACTGTTCAGTTTACCAAACTGCTCAGATATTCTCACATATATGCTTGATTTTAAGCTGCTTATAGTTATTAGCATGCTGGAGTTTTTGTTTTGTTTTTGTTTCTATTGAATTTTTATGTGTTGTTGGTTTTATTTGTTACAAATAAACATAATGGTCATCATTTTGGATCTGTATTTTTGATACTAAAAATCAAGTTTTAAATACTTTTTTAAAAAATTAAATCTTTTTAAGATGACTATATAAGTTCCCTGTGAAGTGTGATTTCAGAATTGGAAAAAAAACCCTATATTATAAATAATAATGCAAATGGCAGAAAACTCTTCAAAACGGATTACAGGTAGTCTCCAATTTACAACATGTCCCTTAGCAACCATTTGAAGTTACGCTGTAATCTACCCAGTTCCAAATTTTCAACAGCTGTCCATTTCCCTCCCCCCATAGTCACATGACCACATTTTGGGTGCTTGGCAAGTGGCCAGCATTTATGGCTGTTTACAGTATCTCATGGTCACAAAACCATGATTGATAATGTTTTTTGCTGAAATTTTTCCATGATTTATAATGTTTACTGCTGAAAACCAGCATTTGCTTCTGGTTTTCAGCAAAAACATCCCAAAGCTTAACAGCTGTGGTAGTTGCTTAGCGACTCTGGTGGTTGGTTTATGACATAGCATTTGCTTCACAACTATCGCAAGAAAGGTTGTAAAAACAGGTCATCACATGCTGATCTGCTTTATGATCATTGAGAACTATCTGTATTTTTACCGCAAGTAAGGAATAGATAAAGGAATTATTAAGATTAACTAATTAATCTAATGCTCAGTATATCTTTGATGAGAAATTAACCATAAATATCAAAGTACATGAAATTATTTTAATGTCAGTAAGGAATTAAATATTTGAATTAATTGGGAGGGAGGGAGGGAGGGAAGGAAGGAAGGAAGGGAGGGAGGAAGGGAGGGAGGGAGGGAGGGAGGAAGGAAAGTTCACCAAGTTCTTGGTGAATGTTTGATTTGTTCATTAAGCCTGAATGAACCATATCTGCATATATAATTTTACTTTTCTTTTCTTACTGTGGTTTTCTCTGATATGAAAAGCATTTAAAGGAGAGACTAGTGGTGAGATTGTTAGACTTAATAATTTTTCTCATAAGCTTCCATCCTTTTACAAAGCTTTATCTTACAATATGTTCTTAATTTTTTTTTTGTCCTTTGTTATCCCTGTACCATAAGTATCTATAAAGCCCAATATAAGATGGCTGGCTATATAAATCTTTTAAATAAATAAATAAATAAAATAAGATAGCTCCTTCCAATGTTAACATTGTACTACAGCGTTTGGAGATCTTATCCATTCTTTTCCATGACAACAGCTTGCTCTGATAATTCTTTATGATAATTTGTACATATTTTCAGCCAATTATTAATATAATCACTAATGTATGCTATACAGTTTTAAAGATTCCAATCTAATAAAGAAGATATTTTCCTAGGTATAATTATCCTCAAATATTTCAACAGTCCTATTTTTATATTTCCATACAACGTGTTACTTATTTAAAAAAAAACATTAAATTTAATTCAATTTCTGGTATATCCAGAAAATTTACAACCTCAACATGACATAAAATGCTTTTGTAATTATTAAGAAGGCACAGAATATCATTAATGTATCTGAAGGTGTTGAAATTGGAAGAAAATGTTTTCTCATTCTCCTTCCCTATTTTTGTTAGAAATGTCCTTTGAAATAAACCAATACAGAGCAAAATATATCACTTTTATTCCTCTTTTGAATATTAGGATTTACTTAATTATAATTTATATCATTTTCTTCTGTTTCAGCAGGATTTTGGAAGCTATTCTACTGAGGAATCTGAAAAAGCAAAAGAAAATTGGATTGCAGGAAAGTATTTTCACAAAGACAGTAAAGCTTTGATTGAGAGTGAAGGTTATCAGGAGCCCAATCATTTTGAGAACAGAACAGAAGATTCTTTGACTACTAATTTTTCTGAAGACCCAAAGAAGGTTCTTAAACAGCTCAGAGGAATGAATTTTTCTTCCAACAAGCATTATTTAAATAAATTCTTTAATAGGAACAATAACTGGAAAGTGACCAATGAGATACAAGAGAGGCGGAAATTTCTTCTTCGTGATATTTGCCAAAAATACGTTAAAAAAACCCAAATTCCTCTTGTGCACATGGTCTCTAGAATATATGTGGAAGATAAATACAAGGTCTTGTATTGTGAGGTTCCTAAAGCAGGCTGTTCCAATTGGAAAAGGATTCTGATGATACTTGGTGGTCTCGCAAATTCTGCTGCTAATATTTCCCATAATAGCGTACACTATGGAGGTAATCTGAATAAACTAGATAGTTATAATTTAACAGAGATACAGAAGCGTTTAAAAACATATACTAAAATTATATTTGTCCGTGATCCAATGGAAAGGTTGGTGTCTGCTTTTCGGGATAAGTTTGAACATCCAAACATTTATTACCATCCTGTATTTGGGAAGGCAATTATTAAGAAATACAGACCTAATGCAGATAAAAAGGCATTGACAACTGGCTCAGGAGTGAAATTTAAAGAATTTATACAATATCTATTAGATCCCTATCGGCCATTAGGTATGGATATACATTGGGAGCAAATCAACAAACTGTGTTATCCTTGTGATATCGATTATAATTTCATTGGCAAATTTGAAACTCTGGAAAAAGACGCCAATTATATTTTGAAACTGATAAATGCTCCAGATGAGGTCCAATTCCCTCATTTCAAAGACAGACACTCCACAGACAAAAGAACCAATTCAGAAGTTATAAGGAAATACTTGTCAGAAATTCCTGCTGCAGAGAGGCTGCAGGTTTATGGCTTTTATTACCTGGATTATCTAATGTTTAACTATACTATACCATATAAGGCATTCCAATCTGATTTAATGCATAATCAGCCTTACCTATAACTTATGAAGAAAAGTATATTTTTTTAAAATGGAGAAGCTTTTGATTTGTTAAAATTTTCATAAATGTAAGTGCCTAAAATTTAAGAAATAACGTATTACACTGTGATGTCTGGGAATAATAATTTCATATTAGAAAATTATAGAATATAATGCAATATAATTAAGATAAGAGATATTAAAACAATTGTATTTTATTTATATCCACTGCTGCAAATGCATTTTTCTACATTCCAGGGAACAGCACTTAAAAGCTGGATTTATAAATCTGAGATAAGTTTTTTTTATTATCAACGGATAGTGCTTGGAAATAATATATACTCCAACTACTGATTTTCCTACTGTTTTTTTTTATTATTATTATTATTGGCCAGAATTGTAGATAAAAGCACACTAAAAGTAAAAATAAATAGTAAATAGTTTACTAGATAATAAAATACCTACCTTCACTACTGTAATATCAACTATAAGACAAACAATTCTTCATTGTACACCTCACATGGTGATTTTGACAATTTAAACATACCTTTATATACATCTTTAATTACATCTTTAAATGCATCTTTATTAAATACACCTTTAAATATTAAATACATCTTTAAATACACCTTTAACATTTATTTATTTCATTATAAATTCTTCATATTTTTATTGTATACATTCCTTGTTTGACATCAGTTACTCCAAATATAAGTTGTTTTACAATATTACTAAGATCCATTTCATTATCTGCACATTTCATTATTTGGCATCCTTGTATTTATTGCTGCAGGATCAGATAATGTTGCTTCAATTTGTTTAGAATGCATTTTAAGCATTTTTAACTTCTTAAATTAATATTTCATAATAAGGTGTTCTATATTTCATAAATGAAGGCAAATATAGGTGTCCCAGGATAATGTTGCAGGATCTAATCTGGGTTGGTCACCAGGACTGTAGGTTTAGTCTTCCAAGTTTTCAAACTCAGGCACACTTTGGGCACACATTCTGGTGAGAGAGAAGTTCCCTGAGGAACACCATGAGTCCAAAAGCATGGAAGACTAAACCTATGGTCCTCGTGACTGACCCATTTTTTTAGCATTGTTTCTAACTTAAGAAATTCGATAGAACTGGTAGTTAACTTTTTGTGCAGCTCAGTGAATCGGCTGAATAGCCAATTCACCTGGCCTTCATTTGCTCCTCCCCTCCCAGCCCCTCCTTGCCTCGCCCCTCTCCTCCCAGCCACTTCTTGCCTCAACTGGCCTCTCATCACTGGGCAGCTCGCCTGGCCTTAGAAATAAGCACAACACGGAAGGCTTCCATTCTAGGAAATAAGCCCAATCAACACCTCTATCTCCACCAAAACAGGGTGACCCACCTTCACGTCTTTTCAAGCGCAGCCTCTCTTCCAAACAATCCTATGTATAAGATGAGCAATGCACACTGAACTGATCTGGAAGAGGAGGGGGAGGATTTGAGCTACCTGAGCGAGCATGAGTGATCAGTTTGGTGAAACTGCGCTCTGTACAAGCAGTGCCCTGACCGGACTGTGGGAGTGTCCAGTGACCGATCGAAATTCATGATCGCAAAAGGCAAAAGCAACCAAGCAGCCACATCACTTCCAGGCACTTCTCCACCATTTGGGCTCTTCCCCATCAGCCTTAATTAGGGGCAAGGCAAGGAGGGGCTGGGAGGGGAGGAGCAAATGAAGGCCAGTGAGGCGAGACACCCCTTGACATGAGTAACATCGAGTTGGCCATGCCCACCCAGTCACATGCCCACCCAGCCACACCTACCCAGCTGGCCACTAGGGCAGAGAACCAGTTGTTAAATTATTTGAATGCCACCACTGATCCCAAACCCTATCGTCACACACATTTCAACTCTATCTCACTTGTATTTATTGTTATATCTTAATAATGATCTTTATTTATTTGAAATTATTGAATTCTGTAGGAGAAAAAAAATAACATGACTGTTGAGTATACAAAAGAATTATTCTTTCACTTCTTTCAGCTCATTCTGATAAGAGATGCATTTTGTCAATTACAAGCACAAATTTGCCTTACTTTAATATGAATAAGAACAAAGGTTTGTGGGATGAAAACACATGTGGCTATCATGCTGATCAATACTCAAGTCAGGAATTCAGAAAAGGGCTGTGCCTATACAACATACTGATCAGCATTTTGGATGAATCTAGCAAATAAGATTAATTGATAAAGCGTTGTTAAATAAATTATGGACAAATCATGCAGTTTACGAATATAGCTAATTACGTATGGACAGCCCAGGAATCATTCAGATATTTACAGTGCTGGGGACATGGGATTCGAGAATGATGCTACCTCAACCTAAATATGATTGATCACTGCTCCATGTCAGATTGCAAGGTAAATGAAGGGGGAAAATTCTGAATACAAATTTCAAGCCCCACAGCAGTATCTATGACCTAAAAACCAAACCTTTCTCTGTGTAGGATTTACCAACTTTGTTTTAAAGGGTCTTGTATGATTTTCAGTGAATCTGCCAAAGGGTTCTTTCAGTACATTATAGAACTATTGATTTACTCATTTTACAACATGTATAGCCAACTCTAGTCTAAACATTCTCTGATAAAAATACAACAAGGTCAAGAAAAGATAATACATTAAAGATCACATCTTTAATGCTAATAAAAATAATCAGTAAAAATCTAATACATCATAGTGTTACTCAATTCAACTAACCCAGTGGTGAAATCCATTTTTTTTACTACCGGTTCTGTGGGCATGGCTTGGTGGGCGTGGCAGGGGAAGGATACTGCACAATCCCCATTCCCTCCCCACTCCTGGGGTAAGGATATTGCAAAATCTCCATTCCCACCTCACTCTGGGGCCAGCCAGAGATGGTATTTGCCGGTTCTCCCAACTACTCAAAATTTCCGCTACCAGTTCTCTGAACTGCTCAAAATTTTCCCTACCAGTTCTCCAGAACCTGTCAGAACCTGCTGGATTTCACTCCTGAACTAACCTAAAGCCCACTGGAATAATACTGCTTTGATTGTCTTTTGAAATGCCTTTAGAGGGAGCTTGTACCTCCAAGGAAAGACACCTCATAACCGGGGACTAGCATGTCACCTTGTCCATCCCTCACAAGCCTTCTGAAGTGGGGAGTCCTACATTAAGCTCTTTCTAGATGACCAAACCAGAAGAGCACGTGAGCCACGTATCTCTGATTCTTACCTTGAAAAGCCATGAAGAGCTTTCAAGGTAATAATTACTAGTTTGAATTGAGCCACAGAGCCTAATTCAACTAAGGAGCTGACTTCAAAATTGTTGTTATTCCTACCTGACTGGATTGGCCCATGGATTGTCTAGTTGCAATTAAGTGTAACTAACCCACTATAGTTTCCATATCATCTCCAATTGCAACCCTACATATAGAGCATTGGAAGGATTGAGCTGGATTGTAATCAGGGAACAAGTTGCAAGTCAGCAATGTTCCTTGAACAGGAAAGTTTAAAATTAGTTCACTAGCCAAGTCTGGGTGAAGGTTCCCGGGCAATAGCTTTCACCCTCTGTTTAGTCATCCCTACTTAATCCTCCCATCCATCAATCCCTTTGAGACCCAACAATACTCCCAATTTCCGAAGAGCTTCTTAACCTCCACATTTTATCTCGGGGGGGGGGGGGGGGGGGGAATAATGGAACTGTTCTTTTTCTTACCAGTTAATACTCTTCTTCAAGCCTGTCTAATATTTTGGGGATCCAGGGTTAATTGCTGAAACCATCAATCCTCAACAGCTGCCAGAAACTGTTCTCCAAACAGCAGCTGAGTTTCAGCAGCAGTAATTTACCACAGTTCCTTGAGTTACTCAGTTCTTTTTCTATTGTGTTTGGCATGTCCTATCACTGACCTGTCTGCTCAATCCAACTAAAATGAAGTGTTCCTTACCTGTATAAAATGAAGCCAAAGATACAACTGTAGTCTCTGCCTTTCATTCTGGATACATTTTCTGATTTAGAAGGCACCATCAAATTTAGAGTGGTGATTTCTAGCATAGTAAAAAACTGTGGAACGGTTCTGAATGAAATATCACATAATTTTATTAATTATTATTTTTTTGTAAATTTGCAAATTGATGAAAAGTAATAATTGCAAATGGTTTCCATGCCTAATAAGTTTACAAGTTGTATATAAATTAAATAAAGGTTGCTTAAGCTATTCAGATAATAACGGCTGCTTTTCTTGGATTCAAGATATACTTATTTCCAAAATCATGTCAAATTAATGTAATCCAGATATGATCCTAAAGGAGCAGTTATTCTGATGATGCTCGTATTCTTTCATGGAAGAAATTTGTTTGACTTTCAGGAGTTAAAGAAAAAACAATGGAGGCAATTTTCTTTTTTTATTTGAAGTATTTTTTTTTTCTCTCGTTCTGTCTGGCTTGAGATTTCTGGAGGAAAATCATCTATATCTTGCAAGTAGTCTACTGTAAATGGCTCCTTTGCAATGAAAGAATGGAATTAAATTTAGAATCTTATGTGACTCAAAGACTGCAGTTTGTCCATCTTTACCAGAGTGATTCACACTCCTACAAGGATATTCTGTACAGTTTTCTGACATTACAACAGTTTTCAGAAATGAGAAGTTCTGTTTAATATCACTTAGCTTCAATTTACAGCTTCCAAAAATTTTCAGATGACTTATCTTACTTAGCTAGAACATGATGGCCAATTAGGATATTGATAAGGTTGAACACAATAACAGTTTCAGAAGAAGTTTTAAATTTCTTTAAATCTGTGTGAATCTTTTACTCAAGTTTGGGAAATTTTTACTCAACATTCATCTTCATCAACAACTATGACCATAAGCCAATGATCGTCTGCTTGAAGAAAATTCAGCATTCTTCTCTAACATATGAATAAATATGAGGCTTACCACATCACAGGGCTGAAATGTTTACAGCAAAGTTGTATTGCTTTCTGCTCCTGCAGAAGTAGTTTTTATTTAGGTCAGTTCAGAAAAATAAATGTTGGCACAGATCTCATGGCAATAAATGCATTTCACAAAACATCATGTTCTGGGAATGGCTTTCTTTTTATGTTGTTCCCCTATTTAAATTCCCCCTTTTGTAATTCCTCTTTGTTCATTTCCCCTTCTTTCAACTTTATTCTTTGCTCCCCACATTCTTGGCAGCAAGTTTAAGCAGACCAGATTTCCAACTCAAGGGAATGTAGATCTGAATAACAATGATTGGGGATGAAGATAGCATGAGATTCCATTTAGTGTTTCCTACTTGTTCCTGAAAACTGCATTATTCCTTAAAATTGTTCCAGACTACGTATCCTCTCTACACAGACTTATTATTAAAGTATAGCCAAGTTGGTGCAAAGGATGGATCTATTTTATAAAATGTATTTTACCAAATATATAATTTTATAAGAATGTCATTTCAAGTTTTAAATATGGTGGTTATCTCCAACTGCTATCGCAACAGGAAGAAGACAACATTTATATCACATTTGTGTTATTTTCAAATAATGAAAGAACATTTGATTGAATTTGGATGAGTTTCAAGATCATTAGTTGAGAAGAGTTATACTAGAGTTATACAAAACATAGACTGGTAATTATACCAGAC